CAAAAAAAAAAAAAAAAAAAAAAAAAAAAAAAAAAGCAACATGTAATAGCAACTACTCCATATCACCTAGGGGTGCACGTACCACAGTTTATTGAACTAGGATCCTTTATTCAGAAACTTAGGTCATTTCTACTATTTTGCAAGTTCAAGTAATGCTTAATATCCCTGCATATAGACTTTTTTTGTTGTTATAGGTACGTTTTAAAAAGAAAGTCCTGAAGGTGGTATTTGCCAGGATAAAGAGCAAATACAGACTTGGTCTTGTCATAAATTACCACATCTGCCTGCCTCAGGGTCCATGTGTGTCATCACCCACCTACAGCCTTCTCAACGAAGTATATTGTCAAGCTGTACAGTGCCTCAGAAAAGGGTGTAGCTTTTTACATGAAACATGTCGAGGTATAATTCACACACAGTTCACACACTTCAAGTGTACAAGTTGGAGGACTTCACAGTCATGCAGCCATTGCTATAATCGATTTTAGAACATTTTCATCAGCCCGAAAAGAAAGTCCCTACTCATGAGCAGTTGGGGAATGGTTTAGAGCTTCAACATATATTTTGGGACGCAGTTCAATCTAAGAATATATCATAAATGTGTTACCAAATGTGATGCAATCCAAGTTGTTAACAAATTTAATGCAATTCAAATGAAAAATAAAAACATATTAATGGGACCAGATGAGCTGACTCTAAATTTTTTTTGAAAAGCTAAGAAAACACTGAAAAGTTGCTCTTCCAGGTATTAAAGAATACTAGAAAGCCTCTGGTTAAAATAGTATACAAATCAATGGGATGCGTACAGTATGTATGGAACTTAGGATATGATGAAGGTCACATCTCTAATCACTAGACAGAGGTGGCTTTTTAAGAAATGATGGTAGAGCAACAGGATACTCACTTGGGAAAAGATACAAACTAGATCCACACTTCCCAGAGTACACAAGAATAAACCCTAAATGGATTAGAGATCTAAGGTTTGAAAAGGCCACTATACAAGTACCAGAAGAAAAAGAATTTTCTTATAGCTGTGGTGTAAGAACAACACTTCTAACTTGACTCAAAATCCAGATGCCATGGGGGGGACCGGAGATGGAGGGAGGAGGGGGAAGGGAAGAGAAGATGAAAAGAATGATATGTCATGCGATGCCACGTGTACACATGCGCCCATACAAGTACAAATTCAGATGCAATAAAAGAAAATGTTGATAAATTTGATGATCTAAAATTTTAAACATTTTGGTAACCTTATTGAGATTCCAGAACCTCAGAATGTAACCTTATTTCAGAACAGGGTTGTTGCAGACTTTCAGATGGATCCCACTGGGGTAGGATGGGCCCTTAACCCAGTGACTCTTGGCGTTTTGCTCTGTAGTACCTGGATGGGCCCCAAGGCCTTGTTCATGCAAGGCAAGACCTCTCCCACTGAGCCGCACCACCGGTTGGGATGGTTGTTAGAAACAATTGTACTCCAAGACTGAAACAGAAATAGAGCCTGAGTTTCCAGCATGATGGCTTTAGCCATCATGTGAGCTAATTCCTTAAAGTCTGTGTGGGTGGGTGGTACTGGGGATTGAACCCAGGGACTTCACACTGAGCTGCCTCCCCAGCCCTTTTTATTTTTTGAGACAAGGTCTTGCTAACTATAAGTTATCCAGGCTGGGCCTGAACTTGTGGTCCTCCTGCCTCAGCTTCCCAGAGAGCTGGGATTCCAGGCCTACGCCACCACATCCAGCTTTGCCTAGAGCAGTCTTTAAAGTCAAGCTCCTGTTGAGGTGTATCTCACTGTTGACTGACTCAGGTCAGTTTCCCTCAGTACATGGCAGGCCCTCTCAATATGAAGATTCAAGTTTTCTCTTTGTTTCTGGAAAACCCAATTAGAGTAGAAAAATTACCTCTCTTACACTGTCTTTTAAGGATCTAGTTACACATTATATTGGAGTTTTTGTGGATAGCTTCCATTTTAAACAACTTTTTTTCAAGGCAAGTGCTTATGCCACTGAGATAAATCACTGGCTAAACCACATTTTCTCTCTCCCTTTTTATTTTTTATTTTGTTTATTGAGAGACAGGGTCTCACTATGTAGTGTGGGCTGGCCTTGAACTTGCTTATATAGCCCAGGCTGGCTTCAAACTCATGGTGATTCTCTTGCTTCAGCCTGCCGATTACTGGGATTACAGGGGTGTGCCACCACGCCTGGACTATTAATGGCCCTAATTTCTATCACTAGGAGATTTTAATATTTAGCTAGATCTTGCACTAGTAAGGTGGGTTATTACAAACCTTAGAATTTGTTCTTCCCACTGTGCTAATTTATACAACCGAGGCTATTAACGTTCTCATTATATAGACTAAAAACTTAGTTGGGCATAGTGGTGCACACCTGTAATTCTGGCTACTTGGAGGCCAAGGCAGGAGGACCACAAGTTCAAGACCAGCCTGGGCAACTTAGCAAGACCTGTTTCAAAATAAAATGTAAAATCATCACAGGTGTAACTCAATGATATAGCACTTGCCTAGCATGAGCAAGGCCCTGGGTTCAAGTTCCAGCAGTCCAAAAAACCAAACCAAACCAAACAAACCTGAATTAAAGAGACTAAGGGAGCCAGTGGCAGCCATGTGGGCCGCTGGGAGGAGAAACAAGAAGCCAGCACGTTTCTGTGAGCCTGCCAATGTGCAGGCTGGGTGACAAGAGGAACGGAGCCTCTACCCTTGTAAGCAACTGGCTGACCCGTAGAAACACAGCTGGTAGCTACTTAAGTAAAACAAAAACCCAAAATACCCACAAAAAAAATCTTAATACTTGCAGTGTTTAGTTTGACTTTGTAGGCTTAAAGCTGGTGGTCTGAGCATCTGTTTAAAGGATAACAATATGGAGTATAGCATAGCATCTATGTGGGATCTCCTCCTGAAGGTGGTAGCCATTGTTAATTCTCTATGATCTTAACGTTCTGTAGAATTTTCATTGTTTTGATTATATCTGATGGCATGGGCAGCTATTTCAAAGACATTCAAGAGCTATTTTAAATCCTCTATCGCTTTTTGATTGGTTTTATTTTGTTTTATTATGTCTGATATTATGGGCACCTACTTTGAAGATAACAGAAAGAATTATGGTAGCCATTGTTGATTTTTTACTATCTTGTTTTGAAGTTCTGTATCACTTTCACTGTTTGATTAACTTTATTCCATTTTGTTTGGTTTTCTAAAATAATTTTAAAAAGCTATTAAAAAAAAAGGCTAAAGGAATTGCCCAAGATTCTTTAGCTGGTAAATGGGAAAGTGGCAAACTAAATTCATGTGTATGACTTTTGATTACTATGTTGCTTATTAATGGCCTTCTCTAATAACTTATTTTCCCAAGAAACTGCTGCATGTTCAGTCATTCTGCTGCAAGGGTATGAAAAACTGTATCCAAATCCAAGGTTAGAAGCTTTGACGCCACTGCATTTAAGTGTTAAGTGTACTGCTGAGCATGGCAGAGCACACCTGTAATCCCAGCACATAGCAGGCCTGCATTTGAGTCCAGCTTGGATTTTAAGAAAACAAAAAAACAAAGGAACTTTACACTTGCCTGGTACTGTAGTATGCACCTGTAGTTCCAGTTCCATGGGATGCTGAGGTAGGGGTAGTTGAGACAAGGAATTTGGGGCCATCATGGGCAACACAGTTAAGACCCTGTCTCAAAACAAAAAAAGGCTTCTATCTTCCATAGGACTTGGCAGCAATGACAATGGATTATTCCTTCAAAAGAAACAGCCTAATAATCAGCTCTATAGTCCTGTAGTTAGGCCATAAACAGTCCTACTACATACAGAATCTCAAATATTGTATGAACTTAAAATAGCCTATCAGTATGGTGGGGAGTGATGGGTTTTCTCTTCCAATGTCAGCCAAACAGTTTGTCCTAAGTCTGCCTTTCCTGCTCACACAATTCTCGACATGGTGATTTATGTTCCTGAACAAATTAGACTTAATTTAAGAGCAGATCATCAGCAACAGGTACAATATTCTTGGCAGAACATTTATTTTGCTTTCTGCCTAACATAGATAGGGTGTTAATGCCATTTGCCCTATAGTACTGTAATTTTTTTCTCTTCCCCTAGAACTTAAAAGTCCTGAGTTTTAAATTACAAGCACTAGTTTACCTCATATTCAATCATAACAATTTAACTTCTGTAGCAATGTTTGTAAGATATTTGTGAAAGAAAAATGGATTGTAACTATCTTGCAGCATTAGTCTTGCTCCCATATGTAGGCCCTGTTTGGGGCCACTGGATTCATAGTGGGCACTGTTTTTGGCGTTAAGCAGCTGAAAAACTCTCATCCTCATAAATCTGGCAAAGAGCGGGGGTGGGGGGCCTTTGGATGACTGTAGAACAAGGTCAACTTTTTTTCCCTGTGAAGCTGAGTATCACTGTTATTTGTACTAGAATGTTGGACAAAAAGAAACACGTTTCCTCCAGTATGTGGACTTTGAAACGTGTGACTGTGAAAACCCCCTTACAGTAAGTGGTAAAAAACACTACTGAACTCCTCAAACCTGCCAAACTCAGGGCGTACTTAGAAATGATCTCATGATGTTTCTAACGAAGCAGAAACAGCCACTACTAAACCCCAGGAAGGTTCCTAGGAGAAAGGCTGCAATGTACATGAAATGATCTTGCTATATAAACATGAAGTTTAAATTCTACCATCTTTTAGGAAATAAAATGGTGATCTTAAACCTTTAAAGTTCTTCATATTCTAGCCAATTAGCTATTCATTTTATTATTTTTTAAAATCAGTTTTCCCATTTTTAATAAAAAATTTAAACCTAAATTTAATAAGAATTGGTAATTAAAATGCCTTCTTTACTCTGGTACCAAATCTCAGGAGGCAGAGAGAATACAAATGTAACAAAAATAGCACGAATCATTTTGCATAACAGAACATCCAATTCTGATGAAATAAAAGCCTGCTTAGGTTTTTACAATATGGATTTAGTATTGAAACGACATGAATTTGTAATCATTAACTTTATTTGTCACTCTTTATAGACATTGGTCCACTTCCACATGAAAAGAACAAACCATTTATTTTCACCTAATCTTCTACAGAATAAAGTTGCACCACAGACCACAGTAACTTCCCAGGGTTTTGGGAAGTTACTGAAATAACAATATTTCAGATTCATGCCTTTGGATGTCCCCAAAGATTTGTTTGGCCTAATTACAAGCATCTACATGCCACGTAGCCAGTCTCTTCTTAAGTCACTGTAGCATCCCTACGAGACACGTGGGTCACCGAACTTGCAGCAGAAGTTAGAACAGCCACACTTTCGATCAGGTACAGCTCAAACCCAGTGACTAGCCAACCATTCAGTGTCTTAGGGCTGCCCTAAGACAGTGTCTCTCAGTCAGAGGTATTTACAGCAAATACACTTACATACGCTTCATAGTGTGTAACAGCGCCAAGAGGATTTTCGTCTGTCCTGTACAGGCAAGTGAAGCATTCCTTAGTTTCTCTAATAAATTCAGTGCATTTTCCCAACATAAATAACATAAGCTATTCTAAGTGTTTACATTTCTTTCAGTGCATGTTTCCAAATTTACTAAATGGAATGAAATTGTGTTATTAAATGGCTATATCATAATACTCAAGCATGTTATGGCGTCTATGTCACATATTTTGATTCACATCAATACTATACTCTAAAAATAATCACAGGCACACACAAAATAGAGAACAGAATTTGCTGTTTTTTTATATAAATTTAAAGTGTACTATCTATTTTAAACCACACTAAAAGATATATTTTAATAAAACAGCTCATGTTCAAACTCCTTGTTTAAATCTGGCATGAGGAGAGTTCAGTCCATTCGAATCTTCTGGTTTGTCATCCTGTAAATGATGCTGTCATAGCCAGGATCCATATTCCAAATGTTGTAAGAGGTGATGATCACGGCCAAGGTCAACGCGATCAATATCCAAAATACCATGTTGAAAATCACTGAGTAATCAAAAGTATACTTGTATGCAAGGTTATAGGGGCTTTCAGTGTTCTACAATATAGAAAAGAAGGAAAAAGTCAAGAGGGAGAATTTTAAAACTTAAAAAAACTATTCCAGTTTAGAGGCTAGGATTGACTGTTTTAACATTTACTCAAAACAACAACAATAACAAACCCAAAGAAAACCCCAAAACAAAACAACACCCCCCAAAACATTTACTCCTCAGTGGCGTAGAAAGGTGCCGCACTGTTGGTGGGAGCGTGGGTCAGGAGCCCTGCTTCGGGAAACTGGGTAACAAAAAAGCGAAGGCGGCAAGGCTGGGATACAGTAAAGCTGCAGTCCAGGGAAAACGTCCACAAGTGGACCGAGAGAGCGTACGGGAGCGCCAACAGATGGGCAGCAGGCACATCCATACAACGGGACATGCAGGGGTGGAGCAGCGCCACGGCCTGAGGACTCTTAAAATAACACTGAACAAAGGAGGCAGAAAAATGCACATGGTGACTCCATGTGTACAAGATGCAAATATGGACAAAACCAAACCACACCCCTGAAGGAGTAACGCATATGCAGTCAGACTGGAGAGGAAAGACACAGGTGCTGACAGGACTTTTGAGGTGGCAGGCTGCTGTCGCTTGGCAACAGAGCCTGCTTGAGGCCTTGAATTCCATCCCCAGTGCTGCTGCAAACAGCCGGATCAGGACTCCCTCTGGATGGGGCACGGTTCAGGGAAAGGACAGGGGGACGGACGTCTTAGGAACAAATAAAACTATATCGTGCTAATACTATCTTTATTCTTACTCTTTTTTTTGGTACTGGGAATCAAACTCAGGACCTTGCACTTGCCAGGCAGCTGCTGTGCACTGAGCTATATCCCCAGCCCTCTTTATCCTTTAAATAATTAAATTTTGTATACTCATACATGTGTGATTTTTTTTAATTTAAAGAGAAAACAAACGATGCACATCTGCAGTCTTGAAGCGCTGTTTGCCAAGCCTTGGGGTGGGGGTTGATTCCAGGCCTGAGCAAAGGTAATGTTTGAGAGACTTCATTTCATTCTGGCTGGAAAGTTGAAAAAGTAGGACAGGTCTGGGGATGTGGCTCAAGGGTAGAGCATCTGGGAGGCCCTGGGTCCCACTGCCAGCACCATGAGTAAGAAAAAAGTCGGACAACAGCAGGATGCCTGCTGGAAGCAGGAAGGTGATGGAACAGCCACCTGAGCCTGTGGATAACCAGAAGGCACTGGGAGCCAGGCGTGGTGGCACACATCTGTAATCCTAGCACTCAGGAGGCTGAGACAGGGGGATTGCTGCAAGTTTGAGGCCAGCCTGGGCTACACAGTTTAAAGCCAGCTGGAACTACAGAGTGACACCTTGTCTCAAAAAACACTCAAAAAAGCCACTGGGAATTTTTGTGCAGGAACTGAGTGACATAATCAGATTTGTCTCTAAAAATAATAACTTTGATGACAATGTAGTGAGACCAAGAGGTAGAGAGAGAGGCACAATTACAGCAAAAGGGCCTGAGCAAGTTGTGTAAACTAGCTGAGTAAACTAAAGGCCAGGGCCTAGAGGAGCTAAAGATAAGTCTCAGGAAATTAGAGCACCAAGGACAAAGGACAAGTCCCTGAGCGCACAAGAGCAAGCCGAAAGGGCTGGAATGCAAAGAACAAAGAAATACTGCAGCCTGCTTTGCAGACATCAAAAGCCTAACAGCGACAGTGGCAGCTGCTTACCTGCACATCCCCCTGCACCATTCTTGTCCAGAGACCGGTAAAAGTCCTAGAGCAGCGATGGTGAACCTTCTAGAGCTTTCAGTAACAGACAGCAGGCTGCAGCACTCTGCCATGGATTCGCTACTGCTGCCCCAGACTTACTGTCAACAGTGTCTTTCTCCTAATCCCCCGCCCCAGTGAGAGCTTTCCCTGGGTTCTAATAAACCATACTGATGCCATTCCAATGCCCACTGCTTGCCGTGTGCCATGAGCCAGAATTTGCCGGCCCCACAACAAGAACCTGGGGTGGGGATGGGGGTCCAGGAAGAGCCAGAGGAAAGCTGGGAGCACTGAGCAAGGCAGGGTGCCTGGCAGGGCAGACAGAGGAGAGAAAGTGACCGATTCCTTTTGTCTCTGCAGCCCTAGCACCTGGCACACGATTCCTTCAACTCCTAACCCTTCCCTAAAAATAAAAGACAGCGATTTCCATAGAGGATGGACACAGATATGTGGGCTCACCTTCGGGGAGCTATGGGCAGAGGCCAAAGGACTTTATACCCTTGAAGGCCGCACTGTCTTTCATTTACTTATTTTGGTAAACAGGTTCCTTTCTGCACCCACTGTAAACACACACTCCAGTGACCTGACATGCACTTACGGTCGCACAGTCACAACAGCAGTCTCAGTTTGGAACATTTCCTCATTCTCCTGTGGCATGAATGGGCAGTTTGGACAGAGGGGAGGACAGTGCATGGAGGGGGTCACTAGTGACAGACAGGGCACCACAGACTGGATCGGTCATGGATCACTTGACACTGTCTTAGACTGTACGCGGGGATAAGCCATTAAATTGTGGCCTAAACTGATTAAAGAAATGGGAAGTCAAGCCAGAAAGCAGAACTTTTATTTAAAGACAGATTTGAATTTAATGCTCATGTAAGTACTAATTTGTGGAGGTAATATTCATTCACTACCTTGAGGCAAACAAAATCCATCGGTACCACCTAATTCTTGCCCTTCACCACAAATACAATAATTCTAGAAACTATTTCCTCATAGAATCTGGCTAACCAGTAAAGCAGCTAGTTTTTACGCTCCAACTCATACACCTCAGAGCAGACTAGCTCTTTTATCAAAGAAAATCCCCAAACAACTGGGACCTCCTTCAAGCAGTCAAATTTCTTCCTGGAGTCACTTGTGTTAAACAATTAGCAGGTCTGACTCGGCAATCTTGAATCTAACACTTAACAGTCTTCCTATGAGACCCAAATCTGTCTTTAAATAAAAGTTCTGCTCTCTGCTTTGACTCTCGCTGCTTTTGTCAAGTTTGAATGGTCACTTCCTGGTATGTCTGCATATACTACCATCTGGGATTCTGGGGGTCCTTTTTGGCTGTCTGGGGCTGCAGGAACCTGTGCTCACCCCACCCGTGGTTCACTGTTTTGTGTCCACTTTTGGGGAGACTAGCTGGGATGTGGCCTGAGGGTGTGGCTTGCGTCCTGTGGGGTGCCACACAGGGACCTGTCTGGGACCCAGTTTTACATTCATTTCTTGTTCATGAGCTCACAAACTTCCTGGAGTTTGTGAGTAACAAGGATTTGAGCCCCATGGTTAAGAACTCCCAAGGAGACAGCTCCATTCCCAATACATAGGCTGAGCACCCAGCTGCCTCTGGGGGTGGGCAGACTGGTTTCCATTTTCCCCGCTCAGGGGCATGGTGTTTTCAGGTCCCCAAACTTCACATGCAGAGGCCAGTCTCAGTCTTCCATGCTCAGTGAGCCAAAGGCCTCTCTGCGTCCCAACTGGCAAGCATCCTTTTAATGGCCTGCTTACCACAGGTCCCCTTTGTTATTAGAGGCATTTCCCTTCTTGAGAACTGGGTGATGCACTTCAAAAGGGGTGTTATTATTTATCCAGCACTTCTGATGTTGCAGAGTGGAAACTGGGCAGGGAGGGGGCTGCTGTCTTCAACACAGGTCCCTGTGCCCAGTTCAGTGGCTCACAGGCCAGTCAGTTTGGGACCATCTTAAACAGGCATTAGCCTTGACCTTCTTTTGACTCTTCAGTCCCATTCTGCTAACAGTAATACTGAGCAGGGTGGGGGCTGCAAGGGGGCCCAAGGAAGAGGGCATAGGAGTGATTGAGCATCTGACGGTGCCGTTGGTGGTGTTCATAGCCCCATGAGGCATCATGGGGTGTCCACACCACTTGGTTCTGTCAGCACACATCTGCTGATGCTGGGTTTCTGTAATGTATAGGATTATACACACACAGCCACCTAACCATGGCCATTGGCCTTGCCTCTGACTCTCTCAGTGCTTAAAATCAAGGCAAAATCCATACTAAAAAACTGTTGAAGTGAAGCAACATTATAAAGTCTACACAGGGGAGCCAGAAAGCATGGGACCATGCCAGAGCTCATGTCCCTCCTGAGAGCACCCAGTCTGCAGGCTGAAGGGCCTCCCTGCTCCCTCACATGAACCTCTCATATTTCCTTGTGTGCGCTGATAGCTGCGTTAGCTCAAACTTTTGTGTCATCTGATGGTAACTCCCAAAAACTCAGTGTCACAGGAAAGATTTTTAAAAAAAAAAAAATAAGTTGGTTTCACAGTTTTAAAGCAGGATCTAAAAATGTACTCACCTCTGGCTCTGTCTCAAGGATAGTCCTTGTCTTCCTCACAAGAGATGTGTCAAAAGATTTGACAGTCACTAATTCTACCACTGCATTTCCACCATAGAGATTGTACATGTCATCTGCAAACTGAAAGTGAGTTAACATTATGAATTCAGAATATACATTTTTGGTTTCCATTTGTGTTTGATATAATTTGCATATATACTTATCCCTTAGTAGCCATGGGGACAGGTTCCAGGACCCCCCCCCCCAAGATAACAAAATCTGTTGGTGCTCGAGCCCCTTCTATAAAATAGTGTGTTGTGTTCCATGTATTTGTGCACTCCTCTCATACACTCCAAATCCTCTCTACGTTATCTACAACACAATACAATGTAAATGCTACACAAATACTGTTAGACTGTATTATTTAGGGGGCAGTGACAAGAAAAAATCTATACATATTCAGTATATGTATAGTTTTTCCCAAATGTTTTTATTCTTCAGTTGATTAAATAAATGGATGTAGGACCCAAAGCTATGGATATTTACTGTGTACAACATATTATTTTAAAATATGTATACCTTGTGGAAAGGCTCCATCAAGCTAATTACCATATGCATTACCTCTCACACATCACTTTTTGTGGTGAATCAAATACACTTATGTAAATTATTTGGAAAGCTTCTGTGCAGCATCACTGGCTCATGATACATACTATGCCCTAGACTAAGCAAATCTTAAAGATTTTGATTATGTTAAAATATTCAGAAAAGTGTTAAGCTTTAATATATATTTGAGAGTTCAAAATAAAATTACTTAAGAGTCTGAACTTACTGGCATATAAATTGGAGGAAGGGAAACAGCAAAGGAAAATGAAGACACCTTCCTAAACGGTCTATGGCTTGTTACAAACATTTGCGGAGACTTACATATGAAGCCTCCCTCCCGAGTCATAGGGGAGTGACTCCAGAGCGGAAGAGCCGGCATCCACTCCCCATCTGCTACATGACTGCTACTGCACTGCTAGGTTACAATCTCATCATCTCACAGTGTACAGTGGGTACAGAGTTTCAGTTGGGGAAGATGAAAAAGTTCTAGAGATGGATGGTACTGGTAGTTACACAACATGTAAATATCCTAATACCATTGAACTGTACAGATAAAAATGGCTGAAATGCTAGGCATGGTGGTGCATACCTGTCATCCCAACAATCAGGAGGCTAAGGCAGGAGAATTGACCTGAGTTTGTGGCCAGCCTATACTACATAGCGAAACCCTGTCTCCAAAAAAAGTGGGGGGAAGCTGAAATGGCTGGGCATGGTATCTCAAGCCTATAATGCCAGCACTTAGGAGGTAGATAAAGGGACAGGTAAATAAAGTTTAAGGCCAACCTAGGCTACACATAGTGTGTTCAAGGCCAGCCTAGGCTACATAGTAGATCCTGTCTCAGTAATTCAAAAAGTGGTTTTATGTTATATATATATATATATATATATATATATATATATATATATTTATCAGAATTAAAAAATGTATTATACTATAGTTACCAGTCATCTAATGCTGCCCCATCAGTATTATCAATAGATATTCCAGTATACCCCTATGACTTGACTCTATCATTAGCTGTTATAATTAGACTCTCAAAGAAATCAAGTTAGACTTCAGTCACACTGGGGTATAGCTTAGTGATAGAGCACTTGCTTGGCATACAAGAGGCCCTGAGTTCCACCCCAGCACAGCAAACCTCAAAAATAAATAAATAAATTCAGTCAACAGTGTTTTGCAAAACAGATTTTCCCATTAAAAAGCTAAACATAGGTGAAACAGTCACACCCCAACCTCCATACCACATCCATATTTACCTTTTGCAGAGCATCCACAAGGATCATAGAAGCATCTCTGAACTGTTCAGAGTCTTCCCCATAATGTTTTCCAATTTCATCTAACCCTGCCAGCTCCAGTGAATACAAATCAGGAGAATGATCTTTGGCTAGATGCTTGTGACGAGACAACTTAAGGAAACAAACAAAGGCAGTGGATGAAGTAAGATGTCAAACCTAGAAAGATGAGGTTTTATGCCTAAATAATCTAGGGAAGTGGTGGTAAACCTGTTAGCGCTTTCAATGATAACAAACAGCTGCCTGTGGCACGCATGCCATAGGTTCGCAACCACTGTTTTAGAGTATCATGGAACCAGGCCAGTGTACACAGCATACAAACAGTCTAAAGTGGTCACAGAGATACTGGTTTAATGGGAATTTTTCACTTTGGGGGATAGTTAGTTAACAGAACTCCCTAAATATTAAAAGCTCTTAACAAAATTGCTTAGTTTTAAGATCTCCTATTTAGGGCAGGGCATGAAAAAGCAGATGACTGGTCCAGTTTGGTATCAGGAATTGATGAGCCACTGGTGTCTACCTCCCGAGTGCCCTCCTAGATCACTGCCCAAGTCCCCTAGCACTAAACTCCAAAATCCTTGAATTGACACCTGCTGCCAAAGTTTAGGAAATAACTTCAGAAACTAACAAACTAACAAAGGTAAGGGTTTTTATTTCAGCCACAAGGATGATTTCTTTAAAAAAAAGCATTCACACACACAAAAAAATACTGCTCAGGCAGATTTATTCCCCTCTTGACTTGGCTGATGGTATTATTAGTTCAAACAGTTATGTCTATTTTCGACCCAAAACTATAGATGCAGGAATTAAGTCTTGCTGTCTGACAAGAAATCAATGGCCAACTCAGAACTATAGCCAGGGTGTTTTCACTCCCAGGCCTGTGTTCTTGGAGGATACACTGTCTCTCCTAAAAGTAGAAATGCAAAATAACTTGACTTCAATAGGATACGAGCTTAAAATTCCCAGCACCACAATTTATTTCTCAGCTTTTGTGAGATCATGCATTTAGGGCACGTAGTGTCACATTTCGATCAGTCCACTAGCATTCAAGTGTTCTCCAGCAACTGTGATGAACTGGGAAACGTGAGCCGCCTACTTACCAAACTCGAAATGTCATGGAGCACTTGCAGTTCAGAAAGGAAGAGCAAGTCAACCTTCAGAGAACCAGACAAGTGAACATTATTCTAAACATGCAGCAGAGATCGACATTTGCCATTTATCAAGTAAAGAAAAGGGAATTACAATCACGGAAGTGATTCAGACAACTATCCTCCCTTTGGGAAGTTCACTTCCACTGACAATGCAGGGTGTTGCTCAGTGGACTCCATTCCCAGCACCCTTCCCCAAGAAAGCACATAAAACACTTGCTAACAAAAAGATGGTGGCCAGCCCCTAGCGCAGTGACTCCTCTCCTCGGTAGCTGTACTTCCATCAGGGCCATGATGCAAAGCCCCCAAACTGTGATTTTTTTCCCTTGCAGGAATTGGGGTATCTGGCATAGGGCAGCGAGATCCTGCCAATGGACCAGCTGCTCACTGTCCTTGAACATGCTCCACACCAGAGAGAGAGGGACGGTGGCCTTAGTCATCCAGAGGAGGGGGAGCGGCCACAAAGCAGCATGCCCTGTGGTTCAAGTGCATGAGTAGATGGCAACGTTGAAGAGTTGAAAGCAGAGGTGCCTCACCACCAGTGTCCAGAAAGAAAGAAAAATGTGGCAGTGTCACGGCCATGAATAACGGCTCCCATGTTACCAGGTCTACACAGCTCCACCAATCAAGGCCGTGGAGTATGCCCTATTTGGATTAATAGGGAGCGACTCTGTGTTAGAACGTAATATTATACCACTGCTTAACTCACACCAAGGGTAAATCTACTCATGGGTTAAGAAAATTATAGCAATGGAAAGAAGAATCTATTCCAGCAGTAAATCTGCACAATTTTTTCTAACACTTCAAAATTTCTAAAAGTCACAAAAGAAAGGGAAATTGATAATGATATTCAGGTGTAGTGGCACAGGTCTGTAATCCTGGTACTCTGAAAAGCTGAGGCAGGAGGATCACAAGTTTGAGCCTACTTTAGGCAACTTAGCAAGCCCCCATCTCAAAAAATTAAAAGGGCCAGGCATGGTAGCATATACCTGTAATTCCAGCACTTGGGAGGCCGAGGCAGGAGGATTGCAATGAATTGGAAGAAAGCCTGGGCTACACAGTGAGTACAAAGCTGGCCTGAACTAAACACAAGACCCTGTCTCCAAAAAAAAAAAAAAAAAGCTGGCGTGGTGGCTCATGCCTGTAAACCCAGCATTCGGGAGACTGAGGTGGGAGGATCGTTGTGAGTTTGAGACCAGCCTGGGCTACAAAGTGAGCTCAAGGCCAGCCTGAACTGCATAGCGAGACCCCATCTCAAAAAAGACAAAAAAAAAAAAAAAAAAAAAGAGAGAAGGGAAAAAATCGGTGTAGGCTGGTGATGTAGTTCAGTGCAATGGTCCTGGTTCAAAAAAAGACATGCATTCAACAACTGCACTACTTACTTCATTGTTCCTACTCAGAGAGTTGAGGGGAAGTGAATTGAGAACAGAGTTTTCTTGAAACAGGCGATTACGCAGCTGCCGTAATGTGACTGAAAGGTCTTCAAAAACTGAATTTGCCTTCCCCACCATATACACTCTCTGTAAGAAAAATCCAAAATCATAAGTTCCTCACAGTCTAACCAATTCATTTAATACATAGAGGTCTGGCAGCATTTTTCATAAAATCAGCTTTAAATTTTCATTAAATAATGAATGCTTAAATTTTTCAAGCATCTTAATAACTTTTTTATCACTTACTTCCTCACTGGGAGCCAACTGCAAAACCACAGGAGTTTCTTCAGAAAATAAGGAGTGAATGGAATTTGCAACGCTGTCCAGACTAAAAGGAACTGCCTGAAATTTAAGAGGAAGACCACAATTATTTCCTGAACCAAAGTGGGAAGAAAGAAGAAACGAAACAAAGGCACCAGCATTTTAAATGGAAATATAGAAGACCCAAATCATTCCCAAACAGAGAAGTTGAAGATTAAACAGCCCCCTAGTGGGCCAAGCCTGTATCTCCCAATGTGCCTAAAGGGGAAATAACTTGCAGAGAGACGGACAGGATGTTGCTTTGCATAAGCAATTTTCTGGTGGTCATTCATGTATTTTAAGCAGTAACACATTTGGTTTCAATATTGATTAAACATATCACACGGCATGTACATTCCACTATAAAGTACCGTGCAGTATTTAAAAAAATGTTGCAGGAATCTGAGGTAGTGAATGTAACTGAAATAGGCCATGGTTTTCATTTCAAAATTTTAAAAGATTTAGGGTTCATCTTCAGATAGACCAGACTCTTAGATGAGGTATAAAATATATTCCAAGAATTGTACCTCTTAGGAACACATGATGATATTATTAGATGGAAATAACACCAACTGTGTTAAATGCAACTTCCTCCCTTTTGTTTTTATTAAAGTGTAACATACAATAATAACTTGCACAAATCCTTGGTTTGCAGCTCAACAAACGTTTTACAAATGGCTGCACTCATGTAACACAAGCAGATACACAGCACTCCACCCTCAAAGGTTACGAAAATTCTGGCTTCTCCCCTCCTACAGATTTGTTTTACTCCACATTATTTCAAAAATAAATTACTGTAATTTTCCCAAGTCATTTTGTTCCTCATATTATTGTATTAAAACTGACAGTGCAGTAATGTTGTTTTAATGGAGATTTTCAAAGTGATTTTTTTTCTAGTGACTTTACTACTTAAAGGTTGGTGTTTATACATAGCAAATTAATACTGATGTGGTACAGGCAGAAATCAATGTGATTAGATAAATCTCACTGATGAAATCCCAGCATCAACATTAAGCTTATTTATTTTGAGATTCTGTGAAATGAAATCAACTTTTGCTTAGTCAAGGTGCATATTAACTCTTCCCCAAATTCTCTTCAAATGAATTAATGAGTAACCCTGGGAAGGAGTGCTCAAACTTGCAAAAGCATACTGTCACCAGCCTCCCCATCACATGGTGTAATCCTTGGGTGGTCACACGGTTGGCCTCCTCAAACTTTGGAGGGAGTTCAGTGGCAAAGGACTTGCAAAGCCCCAGCCTCATTTTACCCAGGGAAATGGCGCTCTGGCCAGGAAAGCAGAAGATCAAGGGAAACCACATTATAAACTATAAAAATGCTTTTGGTGAAAATAATCTGCCTTTTGATCTTCACTGTTTCCCTCTTCCATTTTACTCACATTTATTCTGAAATTCTGATTTCTTCAGGTCATTAATATTCAATCATGGACAACCTAAATTATTTTAACATCCATTTAAGGAGACAAATTTTCCTTCTCTTACCACTTCAGATGCACCCACACTTTTTTGTTTCTTTGAGACAGGGTCTTGCTCTGTATTCCGGGTTACCTTTGAACTCACTATGTAGCCCAGGTTGGCCTCAAACTTGCAGTGATCCTCCTGCCTCAGTCTTCCAACACTGACATAATTTTTAAATATAAGATACACTTAGGGGCTGGGGATTTAGCTCAGTGGCATAAGCTCCTGCTTTGCAAATGCATGGTTGTGAGTTTGATCCCCAGTACCAAAAAAAAAAAAAAAAAAATTACCTAAGACACACTTATTTTTATACAGTTCTAAGTAATTTGGAGCCAGATACGGTGGCTCATGCCTGTAATCCCAGCATTCCAAGAGGCTTAGGCAGAAGGATCACAAATTCAAACCCAGCCTGGACAACCTAGTGAGACTCTGTCTCAAAATAAAACATATTTTTAAGAAGGGTTGGGGATATTAAAAAAATCAAAAAAGGAAATTCTCACAATAACTTATCCTTCAACCCCCTAATTATTTATAAGTACATTATTTTAGCTATCTTTTTCTTGTTGACTTTCTAAAATAAATTCATACGGCTTAAGGAGAAAAATACTTAAAACTTTTCCTTGAAAAATGTCTGCTTTTCTCCTCATTTCCCATTTCTCTGAGGCACTCACTTTGTAATGCTTTGTTTCCCTTTGTTGTAACCACCATTTCTAAACAAGAGGCTTCTGTGACTAATCTTGATTTTTTAGGCTTAGGCACTGCTGTTCATTACAGAAAATGAAGACTTAGCTCCCGCGTGTCACCAACCCCAGCCACATGCTTTGTGCATGCATACGCTGCACTTCCCTCCCACCCTCCCAGCTCAGCAGTTACCTCGGCTCTCCCCGGTCAGTACCATTTCGTTTTATGACTAGAAATAACACTCACAGCCCAGCCTTATACGATACAATCATTGCTTTGCCTTTCTTGAGCCGCAGTGGCAATGATGAGAAATCTGCCAGTGTTCTCTTCTCATTCCTTGGTAATGACAATGTTTTTTCTCTCTGATAGCTTTTAAGATTTTCCATTTCCTTGATGATTCTTCAATTTCACTCTACCTAGCTGTTGATTTGGCTTTAGCGTACTGGGTATTCAATATGCTTTAAAACTTAGGAGTCAGTTATTTTGTCTATTTTTAGCATTTCCAAATCCTTTATTTTTATTTTTAATTGACAGTTAACAATTATATATACCTATTGGATATCTAAAATATATTTACACTATTGGAATGATTACATCAAACATTAAGCCTGTCGACTCACGTACTTTTTTGTGAAAACATTTTAAATCTTTTTTAGCAATTTAAAAATAAAGTACATTATTCAGTACAGCCATTTAGATCACTAAAGCTTGATCCAGCAATCTCACTTCTGCATATACATCCAAAGAACTGAATTAGTATGTCAAAGAGGAAAGCATCCATTTTTCAGCATGCTTCACAACAGCTGAGCTGAGAGCAGCCTCGGGGTCCAGAAGCAGCAAAATGGAGACAGAAAAGTGCTGGGGTGAAACTGCACAGAGAGTGCTTGTCTAGCATGCAAGAAGCCATGGGCTCAATCCCCAGCACCTTAAAAAGGGTGGGCAGCATCCTGTCATTTGTGACATACCAGATAACCCAGGAAGACGTTATGCTCAGTGAAGTAAACCAGGCACAGAAGGGCTTGTATGGTATAGTCGCAGGTCCATATGGAATTTGAAACAGTTACACTCATAGTAGAGAGGAAGCTGAGTGTGGTGGCACATGCCTGTAATCCCAGCACTCAGGAAACTGAGGCAGGAGGATCACTGCAAGTTTGAGACCAGCCTGGGCTACAAAATGAGCTCAAAGCCAGCCTGAACTGCGTAGCGAGACCCTGTCTCAAAAAGACAAAACAAACAAACACAAAACAAAACAAGAAGTAGAGAGAGGGAAATGGAAGTTTCCAGAGGCTGGGGGTAAGGGTAAAAGGAATAAGGTGAGAAGTCAATCCAAAATCTTTTCCCTTTTTTTGAAACATGTTCTTGCTATGTAGCACAGGCTGGCCTCAAACTTATGGCAATACTCCTGCCTTAGACTCCCACATGCTGGGATCACAGCCATGTGCCACCATTCCTGGCTTGCATCTTCTATTTATCAAGTGCCTTTAGCTTGAAGTAATTCTTATGCCAAAGTGACACATTTTGGGGTGGCATATTCTGCTACCCTTGACATTTTTAAGGAATCATTTTTGTAATTATTTGTAGGTTTAACTGCACTGTGTTCAGAGAGGGTGGTTTATATGATACTGACTCTATTGTTTATTTAGATTTGTCTTGTGACCTACCACCTGGTCACTTTGAGTAAGCATGCCATCTGTGCTTGGAAATAAATCTATAGCAGAAGAACTGAAAAAAAAATTCCAAAAACATCAGCATCATACAGACCCCAGTCTTACAAGGCAATGAAATTAAAAATTAAAAGTTTAGAAATTATTGAAAAAGAACTCATGCATTTAGAAATGAAAAGTTCTAAATAGCTCACAAGTAAAAGCAGCACAATCTAAATTATGAAATATTTACAAATCAACAAAAGTACCATAGATCCAACAATGTCTTAAAACTGCATCAGAATCATTATTCCTTCTTTCACAATTTTAATGTATGTATTTTAAAATTTCCTTGAGATTGGTCTGTCCATCTGTAGTTCCAGAAGGTGGCATGTTTGTTGTATCTGCTTTCTTGTGGCACTTTTTTTTCTTTCAGTGCTTTACAAGTCCCTTTCAATTTTTTACCAGGAGCCTTAGCTGTAGAAATGTCCCTATGGGGTGAGTCTTGAGTTCAGAATGAACCTCTCTATACCTGGAATTCTGAGTTCTCTATGGAGACTCTGTGCTCCCCTGCAGCAGCCCTGGTGGCAGAGGTTTCACCAGTTCTTGAGAATAAGTACCTAGGCACTTAAGAGTCCCAAGCCTTTTGTACGGACACAACTGGTAGTATCAGCTCCTGCTCACCATAGTGGCCCATGTGTTTCTAGTCGTGTCTGGCACCTGTACACAACTTTCTTACTTTACAGTGGAGTTATGCTCATAAAAATGTTTTTATGGCATTTCATCCACCACTCCTATAATTTTTCAGTGCCAGTGAAGTCCCTCCCATACTGCCTGAAAACCTGACAAAGATGGAGCAAGGCAGAAAACAGCCTCCGGTTTCAGAGGAAACATGCTGCAGGGAGGGGATAGACAATAGCCAGGAAAATGCAGTAGGACACATCCTTAGCTGGTTTTTCTAGTGACTTTCTTTTTTGAGCCACAGACTCTTCTGAGTGGGTAACATCTCAACTCTTATCCTAGAGGGTATTTTCATCTCATAGAGAGTGGCTAATTTTAATAAGTTTACAACTAGTGTGCTTCCAAAATAAGACATGGGAAGTGTATTTACAATGCTCTTAAATTTATAATGTTAGCTGAAAAGAGAAAGTTACAAGTGCATCCCTCTTGGTTGGGCATATAACTCAACTAGCATGCACTGCGCCCTGTTTGATCCCCAACACAGCCAAAAGGAAAAAAAGTATGTATTTTTAAAAATAAGAAATACTCACATTCTCCAAAGGATATGAGATGACATGGCTGGGAGGTAGAGCCAGTTTGTCAACTCCCTTTACCAACACCATAATGGTAGCCCTGGGACGATGGAATAGATTACCCACTGCAAGTCCTGGCCAAGAAAGGTCCTAACAGTAAAAAAAAAGGGAAAGGTAAGTCCTGATGTTGAAAAGCAAAAAATGGTGCTTAACGATCAACTCGGGGAAACCAGCTCACCAGTGACACCTAATAATTAGTTAAGGGGTTTGGGGATGATGCTGGCCAGGAAAACTCACAGGGACAGAAACACTACTTAAGGCAGTAGCTGCAATTGCCTCATCAAAGATGGTGACTTCCACCTTCTTCATTTTCTTAAAATTCTGTACACTTGAAACAAAATCTGATAGTAAGTCATCTCAAAACTACTGTGGAAAACAGTGAGGCAGTATACGGAACACAGGCACTTTTGATATTCCAGGCTACAGAATATTCTCTTTTTCAGACAGCCATGGAGGTCTCCTTCCTCTCTGTCATTTCTTGTCCTTATGCATGGCATCCCTTTCATCTTTCACATGATACAGCAAAATCATCATTCAAACATTCTCTTTAGATTTAGCACTTTATAAATAAAGTTCCTACTGAAAGTTAACACATATTAGTTTACTTATAGTTATTTCTAAAGGTTATTTTTACAGCCAAATTTGTAGTCAAATTTAAGATTGTAGGACTGGGAATACAGCTCAGGGAGACAACATTACTCTAGCTGCCAGAGACCCAGGGTTCCATTTCCAGCTCTGCAAAAAAATGGAACAAAACAAAAAAGTGAAGTTTCTAAAGAAATTTTAGCCCTAAATGTAAAAGATCAGTCCTGTTCACACTGTTGCCCAAAGAGACAGCAAAGAGTTCAGGGCTCCACCCTTAGGTCCAGCAGCCAAACAGTTTCTACATGGAGCTTTGGGCGACAGAAGGGCTGGAAAGAATGCGCACGTTGATGACTGATGTGCTGTGGAGCCCATGCCAAAATTACCACATTTATAAAGTAGGAGGATGATGAGAGTGAGACAAAGCAAGTTGCATCTCCTCCTTTCTAAGTCCTGAGCTTCAGACCTTCTGGACTGACTGGATCTCGGACCCTCTGCTGTGATTACACAAGCAGCCTATTACAACAGGTTATAGGTTTATTCTAGGAAGCTGAGGTCACAGGCTGCCAGTGACCCACTGCTACTGATCACACTGTTTTCCTAACCTGACAGGATATATAGACATTTTATCATTCGCAGCAAAAAAATGGTATAGCCTATTAATAGCAGTATGCCTATATATGTGTATTTACTATGTATCAACAAATATTAAAATCTATTTTTAAAACTTAAAATAGGACAGATGCATTCTCTTATATACAAAGAATTTGAATATAAATATATAGTTAATGATTTACAATGATTTAGTTTTAGAAGATAAGCTTGATCCAAAATTTTTCCAACTACAAATGAGGTTTTTAAACTTTTGTAGTCTGTAGCACACATACCTATATTTGTTGTTGCTTTCTTGGGCTCTTATCAGAAATTAAGAAATATATAATTCTCTATGATGACTGTGATCATTATGTATATCTAAAATGTACCAACAAAATCTGACTGAAGAAGGGCTGGAGATTTAGTTCAGCGGCTCAAGAACTTGTCTGGTGAGTTCGATCCCCAGTACCAAAATCAATCAATCTGATTGAAGTAAAAAAGGAAGTAGCTCCAAACATTTAAAAAAATACATACATATTCATATACATATATATAGATATATACACACATACTTCTTTAACAGAGAAGCCCATGGACAATGCAGCTACATCTGGGATTCGCTCTCCTGGTATAGGCCAATTTCCATTTCGGAAGACAACAGACCCTGGTGATTTTAATATACTAAACTCATTCCCCAAAACACCTGAGAAGAAAACAGATAATTAGTAAACGAATTAGCAGCTTTGTAACTCTTTTGTACTTACCCTGAACACTATGAAATATAATACGTTTCCCCATTCTCCACTGTTTTAACATACAACATTATGGTTGGACAAAATGCTGAATGCTAAACATCAGTAGATGGGGTGGGTCTGGGGTCTGAACTCAAGGCCATGCACCTAAGCACACACACTCCCACTGAGCTACACTTCCAACTCTACCAATAAATTCTTTTCCAAAGTATCAGTCTAAGAATTTAAGTCTATATATTCTGCTGGAATAAAGATACAACTATGAAACAGGATTTTCCTAATGATCTAGATGCCTTTTATAGATACTCCTTAACAAGAACATGTAGCAATTTGGTAAAATCAGAAACCAGTGATGCTTCTCCACAATTTGAAAACCAAACATCAAAAAACTCTGCCACAGACTAAAACTGAAGAAACTTGGAATTTCTAAATTATTTCTGCTATCAATCCTCTCTGCAAAATGCAAGTTCCTAGTATTTCTTCATAGGACTATAGCATAGTAATGTACCTTAGGCTAGATTACATCTTTCCTTACACTCCACAAGCAAACCTAGTAAAATGAGGACTGTCAAACAGGGGTATGTGTGTTACCCCAGCCAGACTATAAAATCATTTAGATTTCAGAAACAAAGTCCAGGAAATAGTATTTTTGGCTGACACATTTGAAGGATAAGAAAAGATATTCTGTAATGATGAAGTCAGCTAGTCTAAGTATTATGTCTAGGATTAAACAATTAAGGATAAAAGTAAGCTGGGTGTGATGGCACATGTAAGTAATCTCATTAGGGAGGCTGAGGCAGGAGGATCACCATGAGTTCGATGCCAGTCTGAACTACATAGCAAGACCTTATCTCAAAAAAAAAAAAAAAAAAAAAAGCAAAATAGAGGGACTCTTTTATAAGTCCTCCCAGGCTAAGGATAACGCACTGGGTTTCCTTCACCCACTGGTGTTAACCCAGTGATGTCTAGCTTACCCAGGAACAAACAGCTAATGGAAACACATCTTAGCCATGCCTAGTATGAGAAAATGAGACTGTGACCTAAGAAAGTACCATTTACAGGGCAGGGGAACAAAGTTGGAAGCAATAGTAAATGTTTTGGTATACTGAGTAAACAAAAGAATGGTGCTGATACATGACAATTATGAGTTTCAGTTCATCACAGCCACCACAGCAAGAAATTCCAAATTGTTTTAGCAGAAGCAGACAAAAAACAAAAACAAAAACAAACAAACACTAAACAGCAACAAAAAACCCCCACTGAAATGGGTGTCTGTAGCTGACAAACATCTACAGTTTGACAAACATCTCAATACCACTGAGGTGGTGGTACTGCAAACCCTAAGAAGAACAGACAATATAAGACCCACACTCTCCAAGTGCTGCACTTTTAAGGAACCCCATTTGGGGCCAAAGATGCTTTTGCTTCACATGTAGCCGGACTCCTCTGCCCAGCAAAGCTATACTATGTAACTCTGCCTGGACTTTGTAGTTGGTCAGCATCCACTAACCCCAAGATTCCTTCAGGAGCTAGCAAGGAAAGGCACCTTGTCCGAACTTCCGCTCACTGCACACCTCATGTCCCTGGGATACCCGGCAGAAAGTCACCTGTCTTCTACTTGAGTGCTACCAGGGATAAGGGACGCTGCCTCAGTTTACAAACACTGTGTGCCAGAAGTCAGCCTCATTGTTCCAACATTCTACCCCGTGAAAAGTTTTGCCTTGTACTGAACTGAAAGGAGCTTCCTAACTTGCATCTTTTTAGGCTAGCATGCCTCCACTCAGTCTCACCAAATAACCTTGTCTGACTTCAGAGAAGTAGAGAACTCCCCAAGCTAGCAGCTGCCTCCCTTCTCCCTACCACAAAGGTATCTGCACAAGCCCTCCCTGTACCTCCTTCCGACCCAGGGCAGGGATGCCCCCTCCAGCCTATGGGAATCCTGTGTTCAGCCTTCCAGGAACCGTGTTCGCGCACCTATGAAATTCTTCCTTCAATGCTTAATCCACTGTTCAGAAACAGACAACATACCAGGAGACAGGTGATTTATGATAGTGAGCATAAAAAGCTGGCCCAGAGGAATATAAGCTCCATGAAGGTAGGAATTTCAGGGTTTTTTGTTTCAATTTTTGAGACCAATTGCCCTGTGTGCAGTTTAGACTGGCCTGGAACTCATGGCAATCCTCCTGCCTCAGCCTCCCAAAGGCAGGAATTGTGGTCTTGTTCACACGCAATCAGTGGGACTGAGATTGGTGCCTGACACACTGGCACTCAATAAATACATACTGAGTTAATGAGTGAGTGAAGTCACACCCCCAACTACCAATTTTTCCCTCTCAATAGGCTCTTTTACTTCAGCACAAAAACATGCTCAGGACCTCCCATTCTACAATTAAGACCACATAGTCACATGTGGTGGCTCACACCTGTAATCCCAGCACATGGGAGGCTGAGGCAGGAGGATTGCTGCAAGTGTGCGACTAGCCTGGGCTACATCATGAGTTCAAGGTCAGCCTAAATTACATGAGACCCTGTCTCAAAAAAACAAAAATAAATAAACAAAAAAAAAAGCCCACAGAAAGAAAAGAACTCCTGTGGTCCTATCATCTCCACCAGGTATTAGTCCCTGTAATACCTTTAGAGGAGCAATCCTGATGCAACCATCAAAATCACACTGATGGCACCTAGATTTTTAGTTGGGCCTAGATCTCTCTTGAGCCTTAGACATACATGCCAACACTCTGCTGACATTTTCTTTAAGTACTACTACCTCCTTTCAAACTCAACAGGTTTGAAACCAGGTTCACCATCTTTTCACATGTTTCTGCTACATTCTCCAAGAATGATGCTACCTTCTATCCCACTGCTATGGTTGGTCTTTACATCCCATCTACAGCACCACGGCTAATTAAGCAAATGAATCCTGCTTTTTTTATCTCCTGAACCCTTTTCGCCTAGGTCCCTCACTAGGTTTGCTAGGGCTGGCGGCTTTCCAGATGGTCACACCACTCTATGATCCCACTTTCACCTTACTAAAATACAGATCTACTACTGGGTCACCCTTCTGCTTAAATGCCTTTACTCACCACCCAACGCCTTCTTGGCAAATCAAGACCTCAGGCAACCAACCCTATCCCTGGGATCTCTCCAACTTAGTATCTGTACATTTGGGCCCCAACAAACTAGTTGCTCCTTTGCACTCTTGTCTCTATGCCCTCCCCGATGCCGTTCAGTCTAAAATGCCTTTTCTTCTCACACCAACCTTCACTTAACTGCCCAGAGACACTTCCCCGGGGGAAAGTTCCCTCTACCCAAGGGTCCTCTCTGAGAACGCCACTGTACTATACTATGACTTTCTATGAATGGTGACTGGAATCAATCAATTAAAAAACTGGTCCCACTTTTGTCTTCTTGGCATCAGTGACCACTTCTACACAACAATCCTTCACATTCCATATGTTCCTTCTTGGCCTTTCCTCTCCAGGCTAAAAATATTAATTTTTCTTTTAAAACACTCTTCGGGGTATGGTATGCATAACCCTGGTCATGCATACCATACCTTCTCTCTCTATAACACTGCTTTAAAAAGAGAAGTCAAAGGGCTTAAAGATGGTTTCCATTAAGTTACACTTAGTCACTGTGGAAAATAATAATTTAACCTCATCTGACAAGACCCAACAATGCAGAAGCTCAGGTTATTGGTCTGTATGAACCAGATTGTGCCAGTAAGGAAAGTATGATCAATTCCTGTACAGAAACAATGATTTTGGGGGCTGGGGATTTAGCTCAGCGGCATAAGCGCCTGCCTTGCAAGCAGGCAGTCGTGAGTTCGATCCTTGGTACCAATGAAAAGGAAAAAGACAAAAAAAAAAAAAAAAAGAAACAATGATTTTATCTTAAACCCCAAACCCAAACTTCACTGAATCAAAATAATGTCACTGAAGTTTGGAATTTCAGCAGATGTTCAGTTAAAACAAATCATGAAAGGGAAGGGAAAATTTTTAAACTCAAAAACTGGACTAAAATAAAAATTTCCAAGGTATTTTGTTAGATCAGAATAGACCGTTCTAGGGCCAGCAACAGAAAGAACTCTAACATTTTGGAAGCATGGAAATAAACATTGTCATAAACACATACCTCTGGGACAAATGAAAACAACAGATTTCTGGCCTACCCCTGGTCTACACCCCCTGCAGAGTTAACCCACTTCCCACAGCGCAGGTGTGGCCTCCCACTGGTTTCAAACTGACAACTGGGGGTCGGAGCACCCCTCTCTCCAAGTTGTTCTCAACCTGGTCTCTTGTTCCCTACAGTCTGCACCCTCGGTGTGAGTCCCCATCATTCCCACACCGGCACCCGCCACTACCAGTACTGTTCACCGCACCACGACGCACTGTACGGAAAATGCCCACTCTCGATTTCGATCTAGCTTTTCTACTCACTACCTGTGTGGTGCTGGGCAATGGATGTACGCTTTATCATTATCACTACAAAAAAACGAAGACGAGCCCTATTGTAAGACCTGCTGTGAAGCAAAATGCAGTCACGTGACAAAATGAGAGGCCACACTTCTTCGCCTCTGTTCCAGGCCAGGGAACCCGCATTCCACTCAGAAAACTACCACAGACTTGACATGTGACGCTGAGGACGTGACTCATCCTAGTTTCTAAATCCTTCAAACTCGGAACTGCGACCAACTATTAAGAGGAGCTTGGTATTCATTCACCTGAAGAAATAATCATATTAAACGACTCCATCACAACTTTTGCGTCCCGAAACGATACGGAGATTTCAGCCGTTTACTGACGACAGCCACTAGGAAGGAAGACACAGGACTGCAAAGGAAAGCAAACGAGCAAAGGCAGCTGCCGGCGGCAGCTATGGAGACGGCTGCGGCCCGGCCGTCGATTGAGAAACGCATCCCGTCCACCGCAGGCCTCCCGAGCCGGAAGAAGCTGCCGAGCTGACAGAAGAACGTTCCTCAAAGAGGCCGCGCCGGCGCCAGCGACCAGGGAAGGGCGCTGGGGAGGAGGATGAGCGGAGCCCGCACTGCGGCACCCGCCTTACTGCCGCCCACCCGCAGCCACCTGCGACCCCCGACTCCCAAGGCGCGAGCCCTCCCGGAGCGCGCCCCGCCCGCCCTCGCTTCTCACCCGCCACCAAAAAGGACAGCAGCACGGCAAACACAGCCATGGTGCCGCGGCGGCTACAGCAGTGCAGGACTACACAGAGAGCACCGTCCAGAGCCAAACGACCACCACAGCGTGAAGGGGCGATGCGTTCAGTCAGGTTCTGGCTTTCAGAGCCCGCCCCTTCGTCGCGCCGCTCGCGTCACCTCGCCTTGTCAACCAATCGGCAGTTACGCCACAGATTACGGGAGAGACGTAGTTTAGGAAGCCTCACCCTTTGGGCGGGGCAAAGGGTGATTGATGGAACGGGCTACCAATAGTAGCGATGGGAGAGCCGAGCGGTCCCGGCCCAAGAAAAAGGGTCACCAGATAGAGGGAAGGACAGACGGTCAGAAAGGAGACAGAACCTGCCCCGGGTCCTGATAGTCTGGGAAGTGAGGCAGCCTGAGTGCGGACCTTCGGTCCAGTCTCCCGTGACGGTCTCCAACGGGGACATCTGCCTTTCCGGGTCGAGTGCCTCCGCCCGCTGGGAACATCGGCTGCGGAAGCTGTGAGGCTGGTTCAGGTTTTGCTGGAACCAGTACACAGGTGTTGAGCGCCACAGGGACTGAGCCGGGTCCTCGGCGAGCCCCTGCCCACCCAGGAGGGGTGCCGACTAAAATACAGGACTCCTTCGGATAAACAATGCATAACTGTTAGTAAGTCTCGAGTATTTGTGGGACATACAGTAAAATAATTATTTAGCGAAAGTCAAATATAACTAGGCGATCTGTAGTTTGAGTTGCTAAACATGCCAACCCTTCCCCTAAATACTTTCCGATCTACAAGGAATAAAGAGACAATATGCATTATTTATCCATTCTTCTGTTTCCAACCTGGGCAAGGGGTTCTGTTAGGATGTGGGAGTGCTATGGTAATTAGACCAGGATCCTCCCTTCCCAGAGCTGGCAGTCTTCGGTGTAGGAGTAGGCTACAAGGGGCGACAGTGTAACATCTGTGGTTAGAAAACGTTGCTCCTCCCAGGGAGGACATGGGGAGATTGATCTTGTTATTAAAAACTAACGTATGGACTGAACATAATGGCTCACACTTGCAATTCCAGCATTTGGGGGACTGAGGCAGGAGGATCGCCACCACTTTAAGGTCACCATGGGTAACATAGTGAATTCAAGCCTGCACTAAGCAACAAGACCTTGTTTTAAAGAACAGCAAAAACTCCAACCGAGCAAATTGACAAAAACAAAAAGCCCCTAAATTATGCGAAAGAGAAAGCTTCCTCAGATTGAACATTAACTGTTTATCTTGAGGAATTATAAAGGAAGGAGACACAGAACTAAAAACTTTAAATTAGGACATATTTATTGATGATCTTACGTTGTAGAAAAACTTTAATCTGGCAGGAAATGGGGAGCCACTGAAGGTGGCTGAAACTCTTAACTCAAATTTGCATTTTTTTTCCAGCAGAAAATTTGCACAAATGTTACTTTTACATCTGAAAGGGCATGGAAATAGTTTCTCATTAGAAATGTGAAATTATTGGAGCCAAAATGTCTAAAGCCACTAATTTCCAAAACATTAACTGGATCAGGACTGGCTTGAAAAATGTAATCATTTTTTAAAAATTAGTTTTAGGCTTAATGAATTCACTTTTGTGCCCACCAATGAAAACTTCATTCTTTGTCCATCTTGCTGCATAGCCTAGGACAGTTTTGAACCAGAGGCCATAAAAGAGCTTATCTACATTAACCTTATTTAGGGACACAATCAGAGAAAAGTGGCGTGGAACTTCTGCAGTTTCATTCAGCTTAAAGAAACAGAAAGATGTGATTTTTTTTGATTTTAAGGGTTAAGGGTATTCCTATTTCTTTTAATTTGAGAAAGCACTGATATTAAAAATAGACTGAATTATGAAGTCTCCTGCAAGAAAACCTCACAATTTTTTTGACACAGACTCTCACTATGTAGTTCAAGCTGTTCTTGAACTCATTTTGTAGCCCAGGCTGGCTTTGAATTTGCAGAGATCCTCCGGCCTCAGCTTCCCGAATGCTGAGATTACAGATGTGCACCATCACAAGCATCCATGATGGATTTCTTTCTTTCTTTCTTTGTCTTTTTGAGACAAGGTCTCACTATGTAGTCCAGGCTGGCCTCAAACTCACCGTGATCCTCCTGCCTCAGCCCCCCAAGTGCTGGAATTACAAGTGTGTGCCATCACGGCCAGTCAATTTCTTTCTGTATTGAAAATACCATTCTGGAGAGAGGGGCTAAGGGCAAATATATTAGCCTGTACATCTCAGGCCCCTTTTCAACTGAGGTCTGAAAGAGGCAGCTGCACCTCATAGTCTTGGGACTCAGTGTGATAAACATGTTAAGAAGCTGCTGTGCTGCACGGACTGAGAACCACTAAATTCTGCCAAAGAGAAAGCTTTCTCAGACTGAACATTAACTGTTCATCTTGAGGAAATATTAAGGAAGGAGACACAGAACTAAAAACTTTAAATTAGGACACATTTATTGATGATCTTACGTCAGGGAATCCCTGAATCATTGGCAGTTCTACCTCCTATGTGCAGGCCTCTGATCCAGTCTTTAGGGTTCAGGAAACTTCTGGTGATTGATGTGCAGTTCACTCTTTCAATGAAGTACTTGGAGGTGGGTGTGGTAGGAAAATACTTATAGTAATAAACCAAGTGTGGTAGCACACGATTGTAATCCCAGCCCTCAGGAGGCTGAGGCAAGAAGATCGCCTTGAGTTCGAGGCCAGCCTGAACTACAGGATGAGACCCTGTCTCAAAACATTTGCAAGAATGACCTATATGGTAGCTTGAAAGAAACCACCTCTCCCCATCAAGCCACCCCCACCCCATCCCCTGAAGCCCAACTAGCCAGGCACCTAACTCTCCATCGGTGGCCCCCAGGGAGACAGAAAACAAAGACCTCAACTTCTTGCTTCTTCAGTTTCGAAACTAGAGGTTTGGATGCAAGATTTCAAATAGCACAGGATTTTGTTGGCTTTCCTGATTGGTTCCTTCCAGGATAAATTCCAGCAGCCAGTTCCAAGTGAGCCCAGGGTGAGCTTGGTGAGACAGGCTGGTGTCTGCGATGCAGCAGTTGGGGAGCCTTGGAGAGCTCAAGAGAAGCTGTGTCCTCCAGACCACATGGAGCCCCTCAGTAATTCTTATTCTTACTATTATTATTTTGCTATGCTTTGGCTTGAACCCAGAGCCTCCCGAATGCTAGGCAAGTGCTCTACCACTATATCATTCCCTCCATCCCTCAATTAAAATTAACATTTTCTGTTCTTCAAAAGACACCATATTGTAGGGAAAGTTGGGGGATAGGCAGCGAAAATTAAAGGGCCTCAGTGAGGTTTCTGGCAAATAGAGTGAAGCACCTGCTAGAGAGAGTAACTGAGCAAAACAGCTGATAAGAAGGTCTTGCTCACTTCACGTAAGACACAACTCCCTTCTCTCTCCACCACCAATTAAGCACCAAAGAAACAAAGGGGGAGGGAGGAGCCTATAGTAAAAACTCAGTGTGTAAAATATACATTAACACCAAAACACACACCCATATACATAAGTACATATATGTATTTTATTATTCTCACCATACTGATACACTAAAACACACACATATCCTTTTCTTAACTCAACTTTGGATGTAACTCTGTTGTAAATCTCACAAGATAAGCTCCTGGGCAGTATGAAGAGACCAAAGAAGTGCTTCTCCAAGAAGTGCACATAGATGATGGGAGGGGCAGTGGCCAAATCAGTGGTCTCAAAGCCCCAAATAGTCAATCAAGTTTTAACAACTCTCTCTCACTTTTTTTTTAAAAAACAAGGTCTTGCCATATAGCTTCAGGCTTACCTTGAACTTACTTATGTAGCTGAGGCCGGCCTTGAACTCGAAGTGATCTTCCTGCCTCAGCTTCCTAAGTGCTGGGATTGCAGGCATGCACCGCCCATACCAGGAAAGTTATAACAACTCTCAAGGGGGACAGTCTCTTTCTTGCCATGTAATAAAAGAGGCTGAGAACAATGATACCTGAGTTCCGGCTCTGGACTCCTTACCTTACTCCAACAAGGTATCTATCTCATTTCTCTTTTTTCCAATAAAGTGATTCTGTTTCTCCTTTTGAACTTATATCTCTAATTATTTCATTGATGTAGGTTTTTTTAACCAACCCTAGGTGAAAATCTACCCTCATGAGATGTAGCAGTATGGGTATGGGAGAGTGAGGAAGAAAGAGGAGAGTAGTTTTACACCTCGGAAGAAACCTGACAGACACTGCCTCAGCCAGGTGGCCAAGGTCATCACCAATAGACAAGCCACGTTGATAGGAGGCAGGCACCCTTGATGTGATGTGATAAAAGTGAGACATCACCTCTGTCATGCACTGCCTAGCTCCTGTCTAATTATGAGAAAAGTATTGCATAGAGGGGCATTCTACAAAACTTTGAGCGGAAGCCAGGCACAGTGGTGGTGCACACCTGTAATTTCAGTACTTGGAAAGCTGAGGCAAGAGGATTGCCTTGAGTTTGAGGTCAGCCTGGGCTCCATACTGAGTTCAAGGGCAGCCTGAACTGCATATTGAGACCCTGTCTCAAAAACCTCTGACCACTACTCAAAACGTCCAAGGTCACCCAAACCCAGGAAACTCTGAAAAACTGTCACAGCCAAAAAGAACCTAAGGAAACAGCGTGACTAAATGTAATGAGATGTCCTGGATAGGACCCTGCAACAGAAAAGGGAAATCTGAATAAAATATGGACTGTAGTTAATGGTAATGCATCAGTATTGGTCATTAATTGTGACAAATGGATCATGCTGTTGCTAATAATAGGAAAATGGTGTGAAAAATGTGGAACACCTCTGTGGTATTATCTCAATTTTTCTGTAAATGTCAAATTGCTCTAAAAAGACTATAAAGTGGGTGAAAATACAAGTCACAAAATGGAAAAAGATAAATTGTATTCAGAATATGTGAATCACTCCTATGACTCAATAAGAAAAAGATAACCTGATTTTTAAAAAAATGGGCAACAGACTTGTACAGGGGGCATTATATCGGAAGAAATGCAAAGTACGTATATTAAAAAGTTATTTCCAGGCATGGTGGTGTATGACTGTAATCCCAACACTTAGGAGGCTGAGGCAGGAAGATCACTGTGAGATAAAGGACAGGCTGGGTTACATAATGAGACTCTATCTCAAAAAA